ACACGTCCACAAGCTAACCACCTGAGCAACACATCTGTAGTTGTCATGTCGACATTAAACATACCTTTCATATAATGTACCTGTGTAACTCTGCCTGGAATAATATTTTTTTTCAACATTACAAAACATTAGTTTACTTTATAATTACTTTACACATGGATAGGAACCCACTATTTGTTTTTTTTTATTACATATGAGACCAACAAAAGAATGAAACAAGTGAATTAATATATGTTATATATGGGAGTTTGCACAGTGTTGGAATTGTGCAGGAATCAATCACATCTTTGAAGCCAAACAATGGAAATTGAAACTTCAAGGGACCTTTAATCTTCAGTTTATCAGTAAAATTCACATTCAGAGTCGCCAAATTTGGTTTTCGCTGGACCCGAACGGTATGAAAAACTACGTTAGCTTACGCTATCAGACACATGTATTGGAGTAAAAAGTACAATATTTGCCTCGAGTAGACAAATAAAGTTGCATAAAATGAAAATACTTACTATCTTTATTGTTAAGAGAACCATATGCACGACTGACTGTATGCAATATTTCAACAAAAGATAAAAACAAACATTTTATGTGTTACCTTGGGGATATTTGAAGTTTTTTTTTTTTTAAATTGAAGCATCATGAAAGAGATGTGGATTTAAAAGAAGTTTCAAACAGCAGGTGTAACATTATTTGGAAGAGACGTTTGAAGTGAGCAAACTTCAAAGTTTTTGGTAAAAAGCAAAATGAAACTCCCACATTTACTGTCATTAAAATGAAAGACATTCAGAGGAGTCTCAACCCTTAACGCTGGTGAGAACCTGCAGCTCGGAAAACAGCAGGAAAGATGAACCGGGAATGCAGATTTTAGTCTCCATAACAACAATTTACAGGGGAAGAATACAACATAAAAACGTCAAAATAGTGGAAGCACATTATATTAGTTCTGCCTGTGGTGCCGAGCCACTTTTCGAAATGGGGGAGAAAGATGTAGGTAGTCAACAGCATCAAAGAAAATGGAGAGATCAAACAGGATTAAAACACAGAAATCCCAGACGTTGGCAGGCAGCAGAGGATCATTAGTGAGTTTATGGAGAAAGACAGTCTTTCTCAGCACTGAGGAGTTCACTAAAACCAGATTCTGTAAAAAGTCTTGTTTTTTTCACATTTACATTTAAAAAACAACAACAATAAACAAGCTCAAGGAATGTGTTTTAACATGTGGGGAAACTGACAATTAGAAAACAAGAATAACTGTTAATTGCATTTTATGTTAATCCAATTCAATCTGAGTTGAGAAAATAAGAGAAAAAATAAACTACTGAGCATTTAAACCCAAAAACACAACAACAAATACAGCCGCAAGTTAGCAAAATAAGTGCCTACAACGCACAAACCTTTTGCACTATTTATATTTAATTTCCACTTTAGTAGTTTAGTAGTTTTAGTTTAGTTTTAGT